TGTATTCATTTTAAAAATGAAAAAAATAATTTTAAAAACGAAAAAATGTGTCTAGTACATTTTATAAAGTTGTATCAGTTGCTGGTCCGGAAACCTATTACCTGTCAGTGAGTGGACACAAATTAATTTCCTGATCGTTTTATATTCACGGAACAGTGCACTGCTAGTAAATTGAATTAATTTTACGCACCCATCCACGCTTAATATGCACAAGTCATACATTAAATATCGAGCTTGGGACCGAAGCCAAATGAAATTATCGTCAAATTGGCAGAGACTATATTTTTTTTATATTTTTATCATGCTACTAACGAAAGGCTTGTGAATTCACAGAATATCGAATGGCGTTTATAGTAATTTTTAGTTTTCATTTGTAATTAAAAATTATGCATTTGTTAACAAAATTTAAGAAGTCTGAACTGCAGATGTATTTTCCATATAATATTGTATATCATCATTTTTGCTTAAGTCTTAGGTGATGAGTGGCATGACCTTTTTGTAAAAACTAAATCAATCTGTTTTATTTGCGTTCTTTTTCGCCTTTCATAAGATAAATGGGATGCTGCTGGTTGATAGCGATGCGAAATTTGTACGATCAATAAATACATTCACCCAAACAGGAAATGAGTTTAGGTGTTTATAATGTCCGTTCGATACATTATTATTTGTGCAACGACAGTTATTATATATATTAAATTTTAGTAATTTTCTATTGCATATTCGAATGGAACATATGACCCTATTAGTACAGACTTTTACATGCGAATAAATAACATACAATTCAATTTACGCCCAATAAAATTATAGGTAATAAAATATCTGAGGAGAAACTGTTGAAACTGTTTAATTTTGAAATAATTTATGAAATCATTAACATATTTAAACATCGCATTTAAAGCATTTAATTATAATTTTATCTGTTTGATCATATTATTGCGAGATCGGACTGTGGTGGATCCGATATTATACTGCCCGCATGTATTAAGCCCTAGCAAACCGATGCAATGGCACTCTATGACACAAAGCCATAACTTGTGGTAAATGATATATGTATATACAAAAAAAGAGAGAGAGAGAGAGATTAATATACAAAAACTCATATCAATGAGTAATACTAATGTAGTAATAAATAAAACGGTGTATTTACGTACTAACCATGATACTTAAAAGGGTCATTTGATAAGATATTACTTCCTTCTAATAAGGCAATAATAAAAAAACGGAAAAAAATAGTTTTTTTTTTGAAAAATTGTATGTCAACTGAGTAAGTAAAACTTAGATCAAGAAATATTTTGTTTTATCAAACAACAAAACATTCGAATATTATTTATTAAATAACTATTAATAATAGTTTTCCTTATTATTACTTTAACACTTTCATAATAAATCTTTTGTATACACTTTTCCTACTTATTTATAAATCTACTTGACGTATAGATGTCATATATGAAAATCGGGACCGACGCGACGCTGCATATTGAATCGTCTAATGTGGAGATTTACTCCCGGCCTGTCATCTCAGAACTGCAGACGTAGTGCCTTAGTAAGTTTATTTTAGTACGAATATACGCATTTCGGTATTATATAATACTAGCGACTCACCTTCGTTTCGCTCATGTACGTCCCTATGTGCCTAAAGTGACTTAATGGCAATTTTTCCGAATTCAACTGAAGGCGTAGCTTAACTTCTACTGAATATGGCATATTATTATTGCTTGAACAGCATATAATGTATAATTAAACTATAATACGTTATAATAGAAAATAAATTGAAATCATGAGAACTTTTATCTATCACGTAGCATCACCCAAAAACGTCCAGGGAATGAATTATATATCATTCTTTAATTCATCCAGCTTAGAATCGAGGCTGGAAAAAAACATAAAAAATAAAATCCAACCTCGCATTAGCCGAATTGAACGAAAATATTCCGAGTTCTGAAACCCGCACGAAGCTATTAATCGTTTTGATGTCACAGTATGGGACATTTAGTGTGACCCTTTTTAAGCGAACCCGTCCCTAATCACCGAAGGCCGAACGCCGAAAACCGAATCACGGGTGTTTGTACAACGGTCGAACGAATTCAAATGGCAGGCAGATACTAATTACTATATGTTCATTGTTCATTGTGAAAGAGTATACGAATGATAACTCTCATTTGCACGTTCCGAGAAACTGCACGTCATGCTTTCCGTTCAATGACATCGCTCCGAGTCCATGACATGATATATCGCACCTGAACTAAAATGTAATAATCTAAAAATAAATGCGAGGTAAAATTCATAAATATGAAAAATATTTTAATTTGTATGATTAAACTCTGTGGTATATGTAGGAAAAATCGTCACGTGCTACTTTATTTGTTTAGTTTAGATGATAGATTTGAATAGTTTATGGTTGGAACAAATTATTTCTATTAGTTTATAAATATTTATGTTAAAAAATAAATAGCAAATATACATTTTAATTTTTTTTCGAAATGCACGCATATAAAGTCGCATACAAAAGCTCGTTAATACAAAAAGGTAAAGGAGTACAAATAAATAAAAAATAGCAACTTAAAAAAATCTTTGCTATGTGGCTTTTAGGCGTGCCAATTGAAACTTTAATTAAAATGTTTTTAATAACTTCTATTCTTTTCTGAAATAAGTTTTGCAACGTCAAATGATACTGTATGAAATTTGGTAAGTTTACTTAAGTTTAAATCAAATTCAAGCAATTAATAGCAAGTTAGACACACCTAATATAAACATTTAAGTAAAAATCGATCAAGTGCGAGTCGATTTCGCAGACGAAGGGTTCCGTACCAACGTACATGTACTTTTTATTAATGTGTAATATTATATTCGATCTATGTATGTAATATATTTGATCGAATCAATGATCGATTACGAACGTTAAAAAAAATTCTTTTCATTTTTATTATTTGACGTTATAACGGCAATAGAAATACACACTTTGTAAAAACTTCAACTCTCTACCTATTACTGTTCATGAGATACAGCCCTTTGACAGATGAACGGACGGACGGACAGCAGAGACTTACTTATAAATAAAAAACCATTAGCATCAATACATGCTAATATTTTATTTTAAATTTATTTTGCTTGTTTTGTGATTATATATTTAATCTAATAAAGTAATCTTTATTAGCTTTTATTTAACTGAAGTAAATCGACAATTGTAGCCGGGATCTGTAATGTTGTAGCGTTAGCAATTTACTTTTGTTTGTCTAAGCCTGACCCGATTTAAACTGATTTCAAAGGCCAATTCAACCTGTACTCCTTTTGTTTGAATTTGGCCGTGGAAAATAAAGCTGATTCATTCATCTGATAATTGTTCTGCGCTGAACAGATTCTTCGCCACTAGTCTTAAAAAAACGTACACGTTTCCATTAATCTAAAGTTTATTATTCCATTGTTTTTTAATAAATAATCATATTTTCCTTCTTTTTAGTTTAGTTCCTTTATTTTGATAGTAATTATGTGTATTGGTTTTCTATAAACGAATTTCTTTCTAACCCATATATGGTTAATATAAACTTTCAGGCTTTTCAGCATTTTACCATAACGTTATACATAAGTTAAAATTATATTTGGAATTAAATTTGTTCAAATAAAAACACCATAAAATTTATTAATCGCCGGCTGATTTTTATAGTATTTATTATTACTACTATTCTACTATAGTATACCATAGTCATTTTAAATAAAACTATCTTTTCGGATTATTTCGTGGATTTATTTTGATTTTTGGTTCCCGACTTTTTGAATGCTTTACAGCAATCATGATCACGGGAGAGACTTAGGTTATAGACGTCTTGTTACAGACAGTGCCTTTTACAAAAATGATTTCAAAAATTCAAAAATGGCACTAAAGTACCTTACAATATTTGTTGATTTTTATTTCTAAACATATTATTTTTTTTAATAAGTATTATAATTAAATATAGCAATATTATTTATTAATTTTAGCTGTTATTATAAATATTACAATAAAAAAAAAACTTTATTAATTACTAATGAAAATTTACAGACTGCAGATGTTGTATTGCGACGGTGCTTCACATCATCTATGTGATAAATCAATATAAAACCGTGAAAAAATCCGAAAAGATAGTTTTATTTAAAATGTCAAATATTCGCGTAAATCTAAGAAAGTATTATACTATAGTCTTTAGTTTTAGCTTGTTATTAACCATTAAAAACCCTTAGTGGACTATTATTACTATTAGGTTGTTTATACTTATTAAACTCAGACGTCGCAAAAAATTCCAATGCTTAAAAAGATTGATGAGAAGTAAGCTGCCTTATATTTCTAGTCGCGCACGTAATATTAGATTTATATAACATTGAAATTAAAATAGCACCACTAATAAACGATAACGGCTTAATTGTGAATACGAAAAGCTAAAATATCGGGAGTGGCGCCAAATGGATTATCGATATTGAAATTTTAATCCACATTATCCGCATTAGACCTAAATTAACATCAATTTAATTTGCTTTCTGTTTTCTACAACAGAAGCAATTGAATGCTATTATGCTTGTTGTCCACAGTTAAATATCATAGCTGCCCAATATATGTATAGTGCAGTATCTCTTGCGTAGTGTCGACCTGTTTTACTTTTACATAGCAAGATAATAAATGATTAGGTTTAATAATCATCTAAATATGTATAAGATTTTTTAATATAATATTTTATAAGTAAAAGCATGACATTAAATATGATTATTAAACTAAAATATAAAGGAAAAACTCCATAGTAAAATTACTATTATTACATCTTCAGAACTCACTTCACAACAATTCAACGCTTTATGAAAATTAAAAATAATAATATATATCTAAGAAAAATCTAACAAAGTATTAAAAATATATACATATATTAATCGCATAGTGCTATACTTAGCTATATTCGATGGAAAACTATCTTAAAACAAGTTTATTGCAGGCGGTGCTCTGAAATTAAAGTGATAATTTAACGTTTGTATTGCAGGTCAGCTGCAGGGGTCAGGGTATAGCGAGGCAGAGCCGGAGTTTCTTTCTCCATTGGAGAATATTACAATTGCTCAGGGACGTGATATCCATTTCACGTGCACCGTCAATCATTTGACCAAATTTAAGGTAATTTTTTAAAATAATTTGCATTAAAGTTCATCCAAGAATTATGATTGTGTTTTTCAATGTAGAATTAAAAATTAATTACGTCTTTATATTCGCTATGATATTACTAAATTAAATATAAAAAAACCGACATGTAATAAGTCATTTTCTGGTGGCGGCCATCTTGGATTTGAAATTTATCATAGTGTATTCTACTAGTCAAGCCCTTTCATTTCATACCCATAATGAGGGAGTTGTGAAAAAATATGTAATCCGCCATTTTGTGACGGCGGCCATATTGGACCTCTCGGTTAGCTCGGAAGTGTATGCACACATCTAGGGATGCCCCTAGGTGCACAGACAGCCATAGCCATAGGGATTTTACTCCAGGCTATAGTCTATTTGTATAATAAATTTCATTCAAATCTATCTAAGTATTTCATCATTAGTAATAAATGTACACACAAACTCCGCAATTATAACAGTGGTCACATAAAACATAGCTGACGTAAATTGGTTTCTTCATTTATATATTTCTCAGAATATCTCAGAATAACAATTTTTTCATAATACAGTTTAAAATATGTAAAACGTATTTAACAAGCTTTTATATAGTTTCACCTGTCCCGGTCTATGTAATGGAATCTTCCTAGTTAAAGACAAGAATATAATATTTGAAATAGGTAAATCTCACAACAAGATTTTATATCATATAAAATGTGTTAAGTATTAAATAGTGGGTTTAATTTAATTTAAAGCTTATTTAGCTAAACCTTGTTTTTAAAAATATTTTTTTACTTACTACAATTTATTTATTTCGAATTGCACATAAATAAAGCTTTGATGTGGATAGGTGGCGTGGATAAAATCGGACACGAAGACAATTCTGGCTATTCACACGCACATGGTGACCATCAACCCGCGGATATCGGTTACACATAACGGCCACAACACATGGAAGCTTTACATCGCCAGCGTAGAGCCGAAGGATTCAGGCACCTACATGTGCCAGATAAATACGGACCCTATGAAAAGCCAGGTATAAACTTTGTTTATTAAATTTACTACTTTTTAATCTCACTAAGGAATAATATAGACAGTGTCATAGAACTAAACATGAAGCCAAACAATTATGTTTTAAAATGGTATGCAAATGACAATTTGTATATTAAGGATAAGTAAATAAATATTAATAAATAATAATAGCTAACCGATGTAATTATATTTAAGGAAAAAAATAAGTAAGCTAATATTATGCTATCTATCTTGCATTGGGAAGAGAACTAACTAATGCTTGAAAATACAAAAGAATATACTATTATTTTTATTATTCATATTTTCTTCTCAAAAATAGTAAATTAACGACTAATACCTATGTAAAATTTTCTTTATTATTTAATAAATAAAATAAATATTTATTTTTGAAATATACCAAATTATTTGTATGGCAAAATCGAGAATAGTAGCATAAACAGCAAATCACGCTACTATTTTTGACTTTGACATTTATTTTGGCGGACTCCGTCTATATAATCCTATAGTCTGAGTTAATAATAGTTTTTATTTGTATACTCCTTAATTTTCATGTTAAAGCTGTCGACCTTTCGAACTTTCTAGAAGTTCATCACGGGGACAGACTTTCTGTTTTACCAAGTTTAAACTTATACCGCTTTATTTATTATTTTTATTTATTTAAGCAAAATAAAGGATTTAACTTGGATTTAAATTTATACTTTTGTCTACAGATCTACTGAATAAACTATAGAAATACTTTTTATTAAAGCTGTTATCATTATTTTTATTTTAAATAGATCTGACAAAGTTAAATTGAAATTGATGTATAAATGATAATAATTTAAAGATGGAACAAATAATATTTAATGGCATCTACTAGGGTTGGTACCTTCCCCCCCAACGTGCGTTCACCTTGTCGTGGTGGGGGGGCTCAGTAGTGCCCGGCAACCCAACCGGGCGCGAAGCCAAGAAACGCACAGGGAGGTGGCCCACTTCGGTGGGCGGTGGGAGGTGGCCCTCTTCAGAGGGCAGTGTACCATGCGGGTTGCTCCTGGTACTTCTCTGATAGCAGAGTGGACTGTGGAGCAACCCCGTGGTTGTTGTGGTCTGCTTCGGCAGACCTGCCGTCGGGGCGTCGTAGTTGAATGCGTAAGCGATCCTGCGACGCCCCATTAAGACGGGGGAAGGTTTTGTTGGGTTTTAGTGGGTAGTACTGGCTTTGCCGGTGAGTCCCACACCTCGTGCGTAAATGCATTTCCCAACGTTAAAAAAAAAAAAAAGGGTTGGTACCTTGAGGTTCAAACACCCAATTTCTAACGAAGAGTTCAGTTTCGTGACTACTACAATGTCGCTGCTATAATAATAAAAGAGTTATATATCCATAGTATATTAATATTATACATGTGAAAGTGTGTTTATTTGTTTGTCTTTCTTTCACGTCGAAACGGCTTGGCAGATTGGTGTGATTGTTTGTGTGGAGATAGTTGGAGGGCTGGAGAGTGATATAGGCTACTTTTTACACTGGGAGATTATGTCTTTCTCACGGGAAAACACGTTATAATACAATCCAAAAAAGTATTTATGATCAAAATTACTTGAAACTTGGTATTATTGCACTTCAATTTAATTAATTAAATTCGTGTTTTAGCATTTTTCGTAATTCATCCCATAAGAGGGTAAAATAGCGGATGAAAGTTTGTATGAAAGCTAACTAGAAAAGCTACCATTTTAGAAGTTTTCTTGTAGTTTTAGCGCGAGCGAATCCGCGGGTTCTGCTTGTAATATATAGTTTTTTAATGAAATACTCTAAATCCAAAGTAATATCATATACATATATAGTATATAACGGACCTTTTAATGTTATTACATGCCTCGTATACTGATTCATCAAATAAAATCAATTTAGTAAGGGTGATGGGATGAACTGTGGATTGTCCTCACGTGAAATATTGAGAGCGGTTAATGCTTGTTGCGACTGTTTTAAAATTTAATTATTTTGCAGTGGATGTATGGGCTTTTAGGAATATGGGTTAGTAATTTTAGTATTTCCCTCGGGTAAGACGAGCTCACGAGCACTTCGTTAATTACATACAACTTGGTCAGCATTTAGGAGGCAAATATCATTGTTTATCTTAGCTTACCAGGCTTTGGGTTGGGAATAGGTCATAACAATACAGTTTCCTGAATCTCGTAGTATTTCTTAGCAATCACAAATTCTTAACCAACCGAGTATTCTTATTTTATCAGCTAAATACTCTAAGCTGTAAGTAATATGTTTACATTCTTATACAATTGACTATGTTTACGTAATTATTAAAATGAATGTATAGTAAAAAAAAATATTTTTAAGGTAAAACTATTGCTTACAAAATAATTCAACTGAAAATGGCTAAAATCACTTCTCTTAGGGGTAAATGCTTTCTCAATTTTAAAAAATTCTCTTAAAGCTCTCCACGTTGCTCAGGAACTTAAAAAAGAATATTATTTTAATTAAAACTATCTCTTCGGATTTTTGACCGTGACTATGAATGCTGTAAAGCATTCGAAGCGTTGGAAACCAAAAATCCAAATAAATCCGCGAAAAAACCCGAAAAGATAGTTTTATTTAAAATGTCAAATATTCGCGTAAATCTAAGGAAGTATTAAGAGACTATTATTTGAATACCCTGCTAATGATACAAATAAAATATGAAACGATTTATGGACAAGGAGCATGGAACTAATCATGGAATCATTAAAGTAGAGAAACTATGCTCTAAACTGAAAAAAAAATTAAAATATGACAATTTATATAATTATTTCGAAATGTGATCATCAAATTACTTATGTATTATAATACGACAGAGCTAAAATTAAATAGAGTAAATGTAGAATAATTAAAAGATTATAGCCGTAGAAGAAATCGTCAACAACTTAGAACTTAGAATAAAGTTCATTTAGAACTTAAGCACACAACTAAAACTTTCGCCTGCGTTTATAATTAAAGTAATAAGAAAAATGTATTGATTATATTAATGAAACTATATTTTTTATTTATTTTACTCCAAATTCGTTATAGGTTTTTATTAATAATTAAGAATTCTAATATTAACATAGATGTTTCACATCTGCGTGGCGCGGGCCTCCCGTGACGGTTAACATTTTTATTATATTTTGACTAAATTTTTTTCTTATATATTAATTATACAATCTATAGGTATATACTACAGTTACACACACCTATATACATACTGGACTGTTTTTGTATCAATTTTCTACTTCTATATTCACGTGCTAGAAATTCTATTTCTTTAAAAGCAAAAATAAAAAAGCTTTTTAGCAGTTCTTACAAGAACCTTTTATTTAAATTGCAAGTGCGTAATGTAATTGACTGATATCGGGCACTACTTTCATTTCATTTTCTTCCTTCTTCTTTATAAAACAATATTTTTTTTAAATATTTTCAGGGTTCTGTTTGATTTTCTATGCATAATATTTTTGGTGTAAATATAAAAACTGTAATTAGAATCAGTTAATGGCCGTCGAATTTGGTTGATGTAGCTAATATTATTTATGCAATCGATTCCGTCCGACAGCTTGCGTTTAAGTGTCGAATATCGATTAAATTGCGTTATTAATGATTCACATTAATTTTTTAATTGTTTTAATTTAAAACATTCACACAATTTATTTAAGCTATAAACATTCTAATATATTACAAACTACAGAGTTAGGTACGTTTTGATGCTTAGTATAGATTTCTCAGAGATGAGATAACTTCCCACAGTAAAAAGTATCCTACATGTTGTCCTGGATAACCTAACTGGATAACCTGGATAACTAGCTATCATCATGTTAAATTTCATCAAAATCTGTCCAGTGGTTTTCTCGTGATGCCTTTCCAGGCAGACAGACACACACAAACACATTGAGACAGACAGACAAAAAATCTAAACTATAGATTCGACCTCTGTATCGATAACAATGACTATTTCAATAAGGTTTTCCAAAAGTATTTAATGTACAGATTCGACTCAGAATTTTATTATATGTATAGATAAAATTAGAAAATTAATAAATTATGAAAATTTATTTACATTAAACTCATAACAAATCTCAAATAACCAGTTAAAATCTTTAATCTTTTTGTTTGTATAGCGACGAGCTATTTCGAAGATTTTTGACGAGCAAATGCTTAGTAGAAAGTGGTAGCATCTAACTTAGAAATTGACTTAGAAATTAAGCAAAAGTAAATATTCCTGGGGGTTGAAAGATAGAAAGTATTTCATCGATTTTAATTAAAGTTCAGATTCTTATTCAATAGCCTAATTGAATTTGAAAAAACAAAGCAGGTTATTTATTTATATTGTGATTCATTATGGAAAGTCTATTTTAAGATACTATTGAAGAACTATACATAGCACAAATTGGGGCCAATGATAAATATCTTTGAGTAAAATGTTTAACATTTTTGATTGTTTTTTAAAGGAATAATTGATATACATAGAAATCGGCTATTTGAATTTCAGTGAGAGATTTTTTATAAGTAATAGTAATATATATACAGTTATGTTTGATTATTTTATTATATTCCATTTGATTGATTGATGATTATTTATTTTTTATTTTCAGTAGTTGTGGATTTAATGCATGCGAAACCACGGACAGTATTTACTAAGAGAATAATGAGATACATTTTGAATTGACCTGGCTGTAGGCAAAAGTATACTAAGTATAATATTAATAATAGTTTAAATAACCTTCATTGTTCAAGGCATTAGTCAATATTTAGTTTAAAATTAATGATTAAGATATAAATTTAATATTAAATGGATAATTCATTATTAATTACTGTCGTAAAAGTTCTGAAAATTAAGCTAACAACTAATTTGAGCAATAACAGTTTCGTTTAATTTTATGTTATTCGAAGTTATACCGAAAGAGAACGGTTTAATTTATACGTATACTTAGCAATACGAAATATTCTAGGCTCTAGATCTCGGCATTTATTTTAAACATTCATTTAAATGTGGTTGCTACCCAACT